AGAGAAATGCACACAGCCTGTATTCAGAAACTGAGCCTTAAAACCAGCCGTCAGGACTTCTGGAACTTTGTGATGTCACAACAAAGCAGTCACCAAGCCCCGCCCACCTGGACCCACCATCCAAACCTTGCAGGATTTGGTTTCTCTGAGTGTTTTTACCTGAAATCTGCTTTATTTTTATTGGATCACTCAGAAAACAGTCAGCCAATCAGAAGAGAGGCTCAGAGCCTCCTCTCTTCTGATTGGCTCACCGACCTGTTGTTACTAGAGCTCCAGAGAGAAGCCTGAGAGAGGAGATGTAAAACTACACTGAGATGGTTTTTATATCTTCTGATGGATCTACATTTCAAAATAAAACACAGAAGAAGAAGAAACATGGAGCTTTAAAGCTAAACTAGGTTGAAGTGTACAAACCCAAATACAGAAAATAATCCCACAACATCGTGGCTTTACATGAAGCTCATGAGTTTCCTGAGTTAACCTCCTCATGTCGGAGCCTTCTCCGTCTGCAGAGCAAACAACAGTCAGACCATCACTGCAGGCAGCAGCCCCCCGCGCCCCCCCGCTCTGCTCTGACTGACACGTGTTGAAATATCAGCAATGTGTTCCAGCTGTCGCCTCCGACAATTAAGACCAGACCTGTGAGCGAGAGCAAACCAGCCCCACACACACTGAGCGGGTCTTATCTCTCCGGCAGGACCCCCGAAAAAACTCTGGTGTGGAAATCATTTGTGGGGAAAAATGTTTACACAAGCGATGTGGCATCAACATTTCACATGAGATTTATGGGTAATTGTACAAGTTTTTTATATCCCAGCTCCATGTGAAGAGCGGGTCTGAAACATGTTTAGAAACAACAGACGTGTGATTAATGTTACTTACGTTTTCGCCGCTCGACGTCTGCGAGCCGGAGACGACGCTGAGGAATGTGTTCAATAATTGATTTGTTTGAAAAAAAAAAAGAAATCAAGTTCCACTCGCTAACTTTTCCCAGAGCGTCTAACAGTGCAGTCTGCTCAGTTACCATGGAAACAACTCAGCCGTGGAGTCACGAGGTCCTGTCAGCGCCCCCTAGAGGCCGCGGTGTTCACCACATCACATCTGTTAAAGCCTCTTCAGTAAAGTTTGACCACAGGGGGCACGACAGAAGAGCTCAGCCATATCTATATCTATGAATAAACTTTCTTCCCCTTCAGGGATTTATGAATACTCATTATATATTACTCATTATATATTACAGCAGCAGTTGTTGAGATATTTGAATCTGGATTTGCTCTAATCCAGTGATTTCACTCAGTGGCTCATGAACTTCATCACTGGAAGAGTGTTGACAATCAAACTCAGTGGATGGTAAAGAACCTTTGCTGTGACTAAGGCGGGAAAATGAGGTCAAACAGCTGCACAGGTTAATAGAAGAGAGACTGAGAACAGACCTTATAAAATCAGGCTTCACTCGCAGATCTCAACAATATGTGGACGGGACCTGAGCTCTGATTGGTCGAGTTAACTCGTGTCAGGAAACAGAGAAAAACATTAAACGTTAAACTCAAAAGTTACTGCAGTATTTCCATTTTATGCAGCTAGATACTTGAACTTCACTCCGACTAGGAATTAAATCTTTGTTTTACTCCACGTCATTTCTGATCACAGCAGTTTTTATGAAAACTTCATCAGTGTTTAAAATGCTTCACATTATGAAAATGAAACCCTGTAGAACAAACAGCAAAACAGCTCTAAACTTCTGGTTTTATTCACATTAATGTTGAATATGTGAATCTAATTCACCTGGTGACCCTTCGGCTCCGGATCAATATCGTTTATTGAATCATTAACAGACTTTCTACAAAACTAGTTCCACTTACTTTTACTCGAGTGTGATTTTAAATGCAGTAATTAAACTTGTTGTGGAGTGTTTGTAGGTGATTGTTTGGGAAGGTTTTGACTGCTCAGCGCTCAGGACATGTGTTAAAGAGACTGCCGTGTTTTCTTCAGTCGTGTTGCTGTAATGTTATAAATCTTCAGGGTTGCTGAGTAACTGAAACGACCATGTTTCTGCAGAAAAACTAACATGTATCAGGGTCTTTGATCAGGACTGACTGGACCACAGACTGGGGAAAGATTATGCTTCTTATTTAAGGTTTGTGAAGCTGCCAGGGAAGATTTGAGTTCAGATGTATTTTGTGCTTTTTAATACACCAACTACAAACATAGCACCAGGCTAATAAATGCAGCACAGTATGAGGGGTTATATAAGAGCACACTGAGCCACAGAGCAGTGACAGTGTTGGTGGTCTGAGGCTTTTAAGTGTGAAACTGTTTGATCCACACATGAGGAATGTTTCCCGCCGGAGCGGCTCTCGACATGATCAGATTAGATCAGATTAGATCAGATTAGATTCCTCTAACGACCTCAGTGGGAGCTGCTGAGCTGTCACATGGAAATATGTGTTAAATATGATGATAACAGTTAATTACAACGCGATCAGAGTCTCGGCCGATGACAGATTTATAGGTCAGGAGATGCTGACGTGCAGATGTGTATCATGAACGCTTCACATCGTGTGACGCTCAGATATTAGAAACGTATTTACAGAGAGGTGAAATAATCTGCTCTGTATGTTGGAGGTTGTTCAGGAGGTCAGACTCTCAGCTGATCGCACACGTTTAAAGGCAAAGAAGGAGTGACTGTCAGACTGTCTGCTTCGGAAAGTTACCACAAAATATTTTTCTATTTTCTACTAGATCTTTTTTTTTTTTTTTTCAGACAGAATATCCAGCACATGAAACTGATTCTCACTTTAAATCCAAGTCACAGGAGTTTCAGCATCTTTTTCTCTGGAAGTTAAAAGCTAAAGTTACTGGGATGAATTTAAATAGTAATGATTAAACCTGTTTCATGAACCTTCCACGAAAGATTCAGAGCTGCACTTTTTACAAATCTTAAAAATAAAGCAGATTTCAGGTAAAAACACTCAGAGAAACCAAATCCTGCAAGGTTTGGATGGTGGGTCCAGGTGGGCGGGGCTTGGTGACTGCTTTGTTGTGACATCACAAAGTTCCAGAAGTCCTGACGGCTGGTTTTAAGGCTCAGTTTCTGAATACAGGCTGTGTGCATTTCTCTGTGGACTGAGGCTTTGATACTTTCACAGTATTAATATAGAAGCTAGAGCTGATCTATAATCACACTACACATGGACACAGACCTTTACACTGGAGGAGCTTTAATTTAAATGATTCTACGCGTTTCCTGAACTTTTTGCGGAAGATTCAGAACTGTCGTTTCTTCGAATCTTCGAAACCGCTCTCTCTCCATGTAGATTGTTTTTCTGTCTGTTGAAGCTGAAGTTGTTGGGATGAATCTTTCATTTCTGCTCTTTCACATTCTCACTTTAAAGAAATGATTGTACCTGTTTCCAAACCTTTCACCAAAGATTACAGCTACAGTTACAGCTGTCTCTCTCTCAGTGAGGACTTCTCATCACGACACTGCTGCCAGTTCAGGGTTCATCCTGCCAGACCTCATCAGCTCTGCTCATGATAATACAGAGCCACCTGACTGTTCAGGTGTGAGCTGAGCGTGTAAAGGCCAGCGATGGCCCACAGTCACTGCTGTGACTTCCACTCAGACCCGGTGTCACTGCGCATCAGACAGAAAACACCTCCAGCTTCACGCACAGTGACGAGGTGGACTCCGTCAGTAACCTGTGACACACACAGATTTACCTGCCGTCACGGCCTCAGACCTCAGCTCATGTTTAACCTTCACTGTTTTTTCTTCTTCTTTGAATTTCAGTTCAATTTCAAGAAACATAAAAACAATTCTTTTCAAATCCAGTTTCCCAAAATCCAGAGTCAACTTTCATGAATCAAATATAAACAAGCACAAATTTAATTACTCAAGAAAAGTAAAAGATAAAGATAAATTTAAACATAAAATGTAAAAATATGTCCTTATACTATATTTACACTAAAACATTTACAGCATGAACTTCCCTCCAGGCTTCAGTCATGGCGTCAGTGCCTCACGTACAAACATGTTTTCTTTATCTAATCTAATTATTGCAGAGCAACAGTCATAAAACGACTGTGTTCCTGTTTGATTCATGAACTCTTTGTCTTTGTGTTATAATAATAACTAATAATAACAGGCTGTTTTCTGCTTCCTGTTATAAGTAGATGTTTTACAGAAGATATCCCATATGCAAATGTAAAACAGTATATGTACATATGTTGAATTTCAACATATATAAATAAATCAAAAGTCATATATTGACACACTAACTCCTACAAATATGTTTATAGACATGTTCTATAAATATACATCCATCCTGAAGCCTGTAAGTATATGTAGATATTATAAATAGAAGGGTCCAGAAGTCGGAGACACGCCCCCAGGATGTGAAGATAAACATGTTTAAAACGAATGAGAAAAACAAACATATAGAAACTTCCAAATATACAAATTTTACTTTGGGTATTAAAAATATATATTTTTAATTTATATGTATATTTCACATATGTTATAAACATATATCTTCATATATCGGAGGATGTATATGTGTGATAATAATATATGATGTCGGGACTTTTCTGTTGGTCGACGTGAACAAGTGTCTGAACGGTGTTTCTGGCAGTGAGCGGCCTCCGTATCTGCAGCTGTGGTCTGATGCTGACCCACAGTGTGCTGCTCGAGCGCCACCTTCCTGCCAACGCTTCCTTTCACTGTCTGTCTCCTCACACACACACACACACACACACACACTCTCTCTCTCTCTCAGGCAGTAGACTCCACATTAAGTGGGCAGAGACATCATGGAGGCCCTCCTCTTTGTTAATAAGTCCTCCCCTTCCCTTCGCCTCTGACCTGCTCAGGCTCTCAGGCAGCATGCAGCAAACGTTCCCATCAGAGCGACCTGCAGCAGCCACAGCAGCAGCAGCAGCAGCAGCAGTGCAGCCTCAGCTCGTCCCGCCGCTGCCCTGCCATTACTCTAACACTCACCTTTAACCTGCAGGACACCTGGAGGAGCGCGGGGGCTGCAGCCGGACGTCTCTGACTTGAAGGAATTTTGAAACTGAGGAACATAAAGGAGTGAAGACGAGCTCCTGGATGTCTTTTGGCCCGCGGGGATTTTTTTTTCCCCCCGTTCCCCAAGGTGTCATCACCTGGATTGTCTCCTGAGACTTTTCTTCTTCTTCGTGGAAAGTTTGAGAAAGGACATTAAGTGAATTGATTTTTCTTCCTGTTATCTTTTTCCGTGTGGGACAGACACTGTGGGAAAGTAAGTTTCCCATTAACTCTTCCCTCTCCCTGCTTCTCTTTTTTTCTTCTGTTTTTGTTTTGGTTTCTTTAATTTCAGCGTTGTTGTGGTTGATTTGGAATCTGCTGTGAAAGGCGGCGGGGAGCTTTGAGCAGCCGCCTGCTGCAGAGGGAAGTGGAGCGGGTTAATGGGACTCACGGAGAGAGGGATGGGTCAGTGTTCAGGTAAAAACAGATGCTGAGCTTCTTCATGTGTTTGTCTCTTCACAGACATGTTGTGCTCCAGGAGAGTCCTGCAGCAGTGGTGCTTTGCTCTTTTCCTGCTCTGCTCTCCGGTGCCGCACTTCGGACGTCCGATTGATGCCCTGAGCAGCAGAATGTAAGTCTGGATTTCATTTATAGAAACTAACTCCTCTCACTGCAGCAGTATTTAGTCTGGAAGCTCAGGAATGCTGGAAATGGGATAAACTTCCAGATAATCTTTTTTTCCGATATTTGGAAGTTTCTTTTCGTTTATTTCCACCCCCACCCCCCCGCACCCCTCCACCCCCCTGCCGTGGGCGCGAGCAGAGGCTGGAAAATGTGTTCATTTGTGAAACGTGCCGGCAGCTGTTTAGTTAGCTCTCGCCCACCTGTGTGTTTACCTTCGGCAGAAACCGTCTCAGTGTGATAAACTCCCAGCAGCCCCGGCTCAAACCCCCCGACGCCTCTCTGCTGCTTTCCATCCAGCGCTCACACGCTGCTGTTTTCTCTCTGCTGTTGTTGCTCTTCATCTGAGCTTTTCAGGCCGGGACAGATGCAGACTAACACCCTCTGTCCGCCGGCGTCCATCCCTGGACAAAGACTTTTAGTCTTTGCTAAGGAGGGAAATGAATAATGCTGATGTTCGGCTCGGCCGTGGACCAAACCAAACCTGCTGCTCCTGCTGAGGTGTTTGATGCCAAGCAGAATAAATGTTCTTTCAAGTTGTTAAGCCAGAATGCTAAACACACTCTGAGAGCTTTTTCCCTGTGGAAAGATAATATCGCTGAGACGCTTTTTGGATGTAATCAGGTTTTAATGAAGCAGGGAGAAGATGCCCTGAAAGAAACAATCTGAGAGGAAGATTTCCTGCTCTGAGTCTCGGTGGAGGGAGATCACATCTGAAACGCATTTTGGCGGCAGCAGTTGGAGTCTGAGGCCGGCTGCGGAGGGAAGAGCGTCGAGTCCTTAACGCGACTCCGACCGTGTGTCGTCCAGGTTTACCAGCGCTAACGGGTTACAGCCGTTTCCAGCGCGGGGACAGGAGCTCGCTCTCTCTCAGTGTGTGTGGGGCCCGCTCGCTCGTGTCAGGGGGAACAGACCTACACCCCCGTCCTGTGATGTGCACTTAATAGGATTTCAGGGATGGGGTTAACGCCACCTGAGTGGAAAGGAAAACACGGGCGCGATGAAAACCGTGAGGTAAAAATCACACGGCGGCGGGCGCTGGTGACCTCTGACCCTCTTTCATCTGCAGCTGCGGTCTTCCATCAGAGAGAGGACGCTGTCTCGGGCCGCGTCCGATGGTTTTTAAGGTTTTTGGAAATTAGATTTAGTTTGAATTTGTGCAGAGAAAAACAGTGATGGTACAGATGTTAGAGAGGGTGGTCCCCAACATCTGGCTCCCGCTCAAAATCCAGTCAACACAGGGGCCGGGAGTCGCTCCACATCTGTCTGACACGAGCTCATCTACGAGTCGGTTCAGTGGTTAGTGGATAGAGAGAAAAGTTAGTGGCTGATATTTGATGAATCTGCTGCTTTTCTTTCTTCACGTCAGTGAACTGAATGTTGAATGTTTGAAGACGATCAGGTCTGTCAGGGAAAGACAGACGGAGAAATTGGCAGATTAATCAGAAATGTACAATGTGTAAAATAATATTTAAGGAGGAATAAACACGTTCCCAAGAACTTTACCTAAAGAGAGAAAAGCCTGAACGAGGAGCTGTGTGATCAGGCTGCAGTGGAAACGTTGGGAGCCTCTCGGGCGTTCGATGCTCGGCGACTCTTCAGGCCATCGCTCCTTTTTTTTCCCTCTCATGTTTATTTTGAATATTTTTTTCGAGCGGTGAAAAGTTTCAGTCTTTCACCTGGAAAAAAAGAGGAGAGAAGGNGGGGGGGGGGGGTCCTGAACCTCTGAAGGATCCGGATCAGAACCCCCCCGTCACAGAACAGTAACCAGAGCTGCTGGTCCACAGCACGAACCAGTGTCAGACACCAGGGCCGTGCATCATCCCAGTGACAGGAGGCCGAGTGTTTCAACCAGGAAACACACTCCTCCTTTCATTCCTCCCACAGAGAGAAACAATTAACGTCAGGTAGGCCGGGGGGGGGGGGGGGGGGGGGCCGCCGGCGGGC